TGCCATGAGGAGTGGAATAGAAAAGCTGAATCACACTGTACCACATCAAATGTTACCACTATTAATATAATGTGCTACATAGTGAGCAAGATGTAATTAGACTGTCTCTAACCAACAGGTTCATCATTACATCAACAGACAAATGCAAGAAATATTGTTACAGTATTATGTCACTTCACTGTATTATGTTCATTATCAACTAAGCTTATAATTAACATGCGGTCATCTGGTCAATATCACCATCACAGTATACCATTGAAAACAATGGTTGCAAACTCAAATGCCTACAGGGCCAAGTAGGTAAGGAAATAAGTACACTGGGCAGTTTGTAAGACTTAGTGGAGGACCATAGCAACCATGTGACCGGATCGTCCACCTTTTATTTCTTTTCTTTTTTTTTTTGGTAAATCTTCACCCGAGGATATTTTTCCACTGATGTTTTAGAAAGAATGGAAAGGAGGGAGGGAGAAAGAGAGAGAGACATCAGTGTGAGAGAGAAACATCAACTGGTTGCCTCCCATGAGACCCCGGGGTCAGGGATGAACCAACAACTCAGGTACACACCCTTGACACACAACCCTTCAGTCCAAGGACCAATGCTCTAACCACTCAACCAAACCAGCCAGAGCAGATCATCCACCTTTTCAAGAGATGCTAGAAACCCAGATTTAAATTAAAAAAAATTTTTTTTTCAATTATAGTTTACATTCAATATTATTTTTGTATTAGTTTCAGGTGTACAGCATAGTGTTTAAATCCAGATTTTTTACCATGAAGCTTTCTAGACCTTCAAACCTTGTGGGTGCATTCAAAAGCACTCTGTGGGCTAGATTTGGCCATTAGTTTGCAAATGCCAATCCAGAATGTCAAAGAAATTTTATTTTAGCCATTGTGGAGGGGAAAAAAAAGATGTGATTAAAAAAAAAAAAAAAAAAAACAAGCAATCACACTAGTTTATTATTGAATAAGCAACTGTTGACTTCTTCTGGATACTGAGATCTTCATCCTCACAAGCATCTAAAATTACATAGAGAACGACATTGGGCTTTATGAAAGTGTTTATCCTCACGCTGCTTATAGCCTCACACCTAGCATAGCAGAGAAAAACACTTTTTATTTATTTATTTATTTATTTATTTATTTTAATCCTCACCCAAAGATATTTTTCACTGATTTTCAGATAGAGTGTGTGTAGGGCTGAGAGAGAGAGAGAAACATTGATGTAAGAGAGACTTACTGACTAGCTGCCTCCCAAACAACCCTGACCAGGGCCAACAGCACTGAGCCAAACCGGCCAGGACAAAAAACCACTTTATTATTTATTTATTTATTTATTTATTTAATTTTCACACTACCAAATAAACATGATTTATTTTTCTCTCTATATTGTTGTAAGTCAGAAAAACATTATTTATTTATTTATTTATTTATTTATTTATTTATTTATTTATTTATTTATTTTATCCTGGTACATGCCCCTAGCAGGAACCGAACCCAGGACCCCCTGGTCCGCAGGCCAATGCTCAACTGCTGAGCCAAACTGGCCAAGGCCAGAAAAACACTTTCTAAATAGCACCTGCTTCTTGGGTCTATATGGAATAAAACAAAATTGAAGTCTTAAAAAATGTCAAGTTAATCTGAACAGCATCTACTTACTCCAAGAGTCCCTACTGCTTGCACTATTTTTGCCCTTTTCTCCCAACAAAAGGTCTATTTTGAAAGATTTGTCTTCCAAGCTGCATGTGTTAAGTAATATTTACTTTTAATCAAACTAAGACAAGAATTACTGAGTTTCTACGGCTCCAGCTCAAAGCTTGTATGGTCATGTTATAAATAAAAGTTTACTATGAAATGCTGAAAACATGCCAGATCTAGCATGACTATTTTCTAAACCCCCTAAGGGCCTGGAAACTTCAGAATATCAGCAGTGTATATTAATCTCATCACATTCTTATTTGTATTCGTCTATTAAAGACTTCTGGCTTATCTGTCATTTCTGTGTATCTTCTTCTATCCAGTGGAAGACTGAACTTGCTTAGGCTCCAGTTTTATTTTTCAGTTAAGAGTCTCTGATATATGCAATAGTTGTCTATTTGAGACATCAGAATTTGTTGTTGTTGTTGTTGTTACAGATATTTCTCCTTTTTTACCCCATTGACACCCTCCTCCCCATTACCCCCACCCGTCCCCAGTTTTGTTGTCCATGTCCATTGGTTATGTGTACATGCATATAAGTTCTGTGGTTTATCTGCTCGCTCCCCCCACCACTCCCTCTTCCAAGGGTTGTCAGTCTGTACCCTATTTCCATGTTTCTGGGTCTACCGTATTCCTCAGAATGTTATGTTGATTATATTCCACAAATAAGTGAGATCATGTGGTATTTGTCTTTTTCTGCTTGGCTTATTTCACTTAGGATAATACTTTCCAGGTCTCTCCATGTCGTCTCAAAGGATAAGAGATCTTTCTTTCTTACAGCTGCATAGCACATGTACCACAGCTTTTTTATCCATTCTCTACTGATGAACACTTGGACCGTTTCCAGATCTTAGCTATTGTAAATAGTGCTGCTATGAACATGGGGGGTACATATATTCTTTCTGATTGGTGTTTCAGGCTTCTTAGGTTCCTAGAAGTGGAATCACTGGGTCAAATGGCAATTCAATTCTTAATTTTTTGAGGTAACACCATAGTGTTTTCCATAGTGGCTACACCAGTCTGCATTCCCACCAGCAGTGTACTAGAGTCCCCTTTTCTCCACACCCTTGCCAACACTTGTTTGATGATTTGTTGATGGCGGCCATTCAGACCGCCATCAGAATGGCGTGATACCTCATTGTTGTTCTAATTTGCATCTCTCTGATGATTAGTGATGTTGAGCATTTCTTTATATGTCTCTTGGCCATTTGTATGTCCTTTTTGGAGAGGTGTGTACTTAGTTCCTCTCCCCATTTTTTATTTGGGTTCTTTGTCTTCCTTTTGTTGAGTTGTATGAGTACTCTATATATTTTGGATATTAACCCCTTATCTGATGTATCATTGGCAATGATGCTCTCCCATACAGTGGGTTGCCTTTCCATTTTGATGGTTGTATCTTTTGCTGTGCAGAAGCTTTTTAAGTTTGATGTAGTCCCATGTGTTCATTTTTTTCCTTTGTTTCTGTTGCCGTAGATGATGTATCAGTGAAAATTCTGCTGCATATGATGTCCAAAATTTTGCTGCCTACATTTTCTTCTAGGATTTTTATGGATTCACGGGTCACAGTTAAGTCTTTTGTCCATTTTGAGTTTATTTTTGTGTATGATGTAAGTTGATGGTTTAGTTTCATTTTTTTCTATGTAGCTGTCCAATTTTCCCAACATCATTTATTAAAGAGGCTGTCTTTACTCCATTGTATGCTTTTGCCTCCTTAGTCAAATATTAATTGAGCATAATGTCTTGCGTCCATTTCTGGGTTCTCTGTTCTGTTCCACTGGTCTATATGCCTGTTCTTGTGCCAGTACCAGGCTGTTTTGATTACAGTAGCTTTGTAGTATAACCTGATATCCAGTATTGTGATCCGACCTACTTTTTCCTTCTTTTTCAAGATTGCTATGACTATTCAGAGTCTTTTTTGGTCCCATATGAACTTTTGAAGTATTTGTTCTAGCTCTGTGAAATATGTTTTCAGTATTTTTATGGGGATTGCTTTGAATTTATAGATTGCTTTGGGTAATATGGACATTTTAATTATGTTAATTCTTCCAATCCAGAACAAGGTATGTGCTTCCACTTTTTTATATCTTTCTCTATTTCTTTTTTTTCAATGTCCTGTAGTTATCTGCAAATAGGTCCTTTACTTCTTCGGTTAAGTTTTTTTCTAGCCCTGGCCAGTTTGGCTCAGCGGTTAGAGCGTCGGCCTGCGGTCCGGAGAGACCCGGGTTCGGTTCCCGCTAAGGGCATGTACCTCGGTTGCAGTTTGTCCCCGGCCCTGGTTGGTCGTGCGGGTGGCAGCCACTCGATGTGTCCCTTCACGTCGATGTTTCTCTCTCTCTCTCCCTTCCTCTCTCTCCCTCCCACTCTATCTGTACAAAAAATGGAAAAATATCCTCGGGTGAGGATAAAAAAAAAAAAAGTTTTTTTCTAGGTATCTTAATTTTTTTGCCATGATGGTAAATGGGATTGTTTTTTTAGTTTCTCTTTCTGTGAGTTCATCATTGGTGTATAAGAATGCCATGGATTTCTTGACATTAATTTTGTATCCTGCTACTTTGTCAAATTCATTTATTAAATCTAGTAGATTTTTGATGGAGTCTTTAGGGTTTTCTATGTATAATATCATGTCATCTACAAATAATGACAGTTTCATGTCCTCCTTTCCAATTTGGATCCTTTTCATTTTTTCTTCAGAGACATCAGAAATTTTTAATCAATTTAAAACAAACTATTCCTGCTCTATGGTCTTCATTTATCCAATCAACAATACCTTCTGAGTACCCATCATATGCCATATGTTTTTCTGGGAGCTTGGGACAAATCAGTGAGCAGAAGAAAGAATCCTGCCCTCCTGGAGCTTGCAGAGAGGGAATGGTGGACACATACAATAAATAAATGCCTGGCTGGTATGGCTCAGTTGGTTGGGTGTCATCCTGTGCACCAGGAGGTTGCCTGTTCAATTCCAGGTCAGGGCACATACCTAGGTTGTGGGCTGGATCCCTGGTAAGGGGCATGCAGTAGGCAGCTGATCGATGTTTCTATCTCTCTCGTCTTCTCCCTTCCTCTCTCTGAAATCAATAAAAACATTTAAAAATAAGTAATTATATAATAAATAAGCAAACTTACATGGGATAGTAGAAGGCATTATGTGCTATAGAAAAATAAAGCAAAGCAGAGTAAGGAGGACTGAAGAATATAAGGGGAATGGGGACTGATGACTATTCTAACCAGGGTGGTAGGAGTAAACCTTATTAAGAAAATTCATTTGAGATCAGTACGCTTTCTGCCGCAGACATTCGCTGCTCTCTCCGACACTGTCTGCTTCCCTGGCCTCTCTCCGCTGCTGTATTGCCAAGATGTCGCTTTCTAACACGCTGACTCTGGACAAACTGGACGTGAAGGGGAAGCGGGTCGTTATGAGAGTGGACTTCAATGTTCCTATGAAGAACAACCAGATAACAAACAACCAGAGAATCAAGGCTGCCATCCCAAGTATCAAATTCTGCTTGGATAATGGAGCCAAGTCAGTTGTTCTCATGAGCCACCTTGGTCGGCCTGATGGTGTCCCCATGCCTGACAAGTACTCCTTGGAGCTAGTTGCTGCAGAACTCAAATCTCTGCTGGGCAAGGATGTTTTGTTCTTGAAGGACTGTGTGGGCCCGGAAGTGGAGAAAGCTTGTGCTGACCCAGCTGCTGGGTCTGTCATTTTGCTGGAGAACCTTTGCTTTCATGTGGAGGAAGAAGGGAAGGGAAAAGATGCTTCTGGGAACAAGGTTAAAGCCGAAACAGTTAAAGTAGAAGCCTTCCGAGCTTCACTTTCCAAGCTAGGGGATGTCAATGATGCTTTTGGCACTGCTCACTGAGCCCACAGCTCTATGGTGGGAGTCAGTCTGCCACAGAAAGCTGGAGGTTTTTTGGTGAAGAAGGAGCTGAACTACTTTGCCAAGGCCTTGTAAAGCCCAGAGCGACCATTCCTGGCCATCCTGGGCGGAGCTAAAGTTGCAGACAAGATCCAGCTGATTAATAATGTGCTAGACAAAGTCAATGAGATGAGTATTGGCGGGGGAATGGCTTTTACCTTCCTTAAGGTGCTCAACAACATGGAGATTGGCACTTCTCTGTTTGATGAAGAGGGAGCCAAGATCGTCAAAGACCTGATGGCCAAAGCTGAGAAGAATGGTGTGAAGATTACCTTGCCAGCTGACTTCGTCACTGCTGACAAGTTTGATGAGAATGCCAAGACTGGCCAGGCCACGGTGGCCTCTGGCATACCTGCTGGCTGGATGGGTTTGGACTGTGGTCCTGAGAGCAGCAAGAAGTACGCTGAGGCTGTCGCTAGGGCTAAGCAGATTGTGTGGAATGGACCTGTGGGCGTATTTGAATGGGAAGCTTTTGCCCGAGGGACCAAAGCCCTCATGGATGAGGTGGTGAAAGCCATTTCCAGGGGCTGCATCACCATCATAGGTGGTGGAGACACTGCCACTTGCCGTGCCAAATGGAATACAGAGGATAAAGTCAGCCATGTGAGCACTGGGGGTGGTGCCAGTTTAGAACTCCTGGAAGGTAAAGTCCTTCCTGGGGTGGATGCTCTCAGCAATGTTTAGTACTTTTCCTGCCTTTTGGTTCCTGTGCACACCCCCTAAGTCAACTTAGCACTTTCCGCATCTCTACTTGGTCTTAGCTAAAATCTTTCCCCATGTCAAGATTCAGCGAGTGGCCATGAGATGCAGCCCAGGAACACTTACACAGTTGCACAGCATCTCGGCTCATCTTCACTGCACCCTGGATTTGCCTCCATTCTTCAGGATCCCATTTGAATTTCTTAGTGACTAAACCATTGTGCATTCTAGAGTACATATATTTATATTTTGTCTGTTAAAAGAGAGTAAGCTGTTAGCTTAATTCTCTCAGAGTAGCTTATTCTGATTAGCTTTGTCATTGTTTCGCTACTCAGCATGGAAACAAGGTGAAATTCCCACTGTAGGGAGGGAGGGAAGGAGAAGAAGTTGGTGATCTGTTAAATAAATAATAAAAGTATTCATTAAAACTGGGGGAAAAAAAAGAAAATTCATTTGAGCAAAGAATTGAAGAAGATGATAAATACTGAGGGAGTTGGCCATGAGTGTATCAAATCATAGGGAAGAGCCAGTGCAAAACTCCTGTGGTATCCAGCCTCCAAGATGGCCCCTAATGATCCCTGCCTCCTGGTATTTGTGCTCTTGAGGGCTGGATTTAGAAGAGAATAGAATAAAATGTAGAAGTAAAAGTGTGTGACTTGAAGACTCAGTCAGAAAAGGCATATGTTGGTGTTCTCTTTAGTGCTCTTTTTCTCTCTTGGATCTCTCACTCTGGGGAAAACCATATTTATTGGGAGCTGCCCTATGGAGAGGTTCATCTGGTGAAAACCTGAGGTCTCCAGCCAACAGCCATGTGAATTTGGAAACAGATCCTCCAGCCTCAGTCAAGTCTTCATAGACTGCAGCCTCAGCTGACATTTTAACTCTAACCTACTGAGACACCCTGAGCCAGAACCACCCAGCTAAGGACTGGATCTCTGGCTCATCGAAATTCTGTGAGATAGTAAATGTTTATTGTTTTAATTATATTTTAGGTAATTTGTTACACAACAATAGACAACTAATACAGACTCTAAAGCAAGAGTGTGCCTGGAGAAAGTGAAGAAGAGAGAAAAATGGTAGGAATTGAGAACTGAGGGTCAAGGCAATGAGGACCTTCAGACCACCATAAGAATCTTGGCTTTTCCCTCTAGTGAGATAGAAAGCCATTGTAAGGGTTTATTCTCAAAGAAGTGATACGAGATGACTTATAGATCTGACAACGGAGAAAAGGAAGGATTTTAGCACTTTATAATTATTTTGTACTCATGATAATTCTGAAAACCTTTTTCTTTTTTTTCTCCCTTGCCTCTAATTTCTGTCCTTGATTATCCTGTTAACCTTGTGTCTCCACCCAAGTCTTCCTTGGATATTTCAACTATGATCTTTGAGTGGATCTTATATTCTAGCATCCTTCATATCTCAAAACCTCGTCCTTCTCCCTCCATGGACCAATCCAGAAGCAATATTTTGCATGCTGCCTGACTTCAGCAGGGCTATTTTTAAACCTTTGTAAAACCCAGACACTCTTTCTTTTAAAGGATTATACTACATGATATTAAACATATTAAAATGTATCTGCATTTCACATTATATTTAATATAGATGATATAATTATATGCATTGAACTGCCGATGACTGGCCAACAATAAATTCCGTTTTAAAGACATTTAAATTTACTCATTTTGATTTCCTGAGATTTGCTTTTGTATTTTGAAACCATACCACCTGTCTCTCCCCAGAAAAAAAAAAAGAAAGTAAAAAAACGAAACCATACTGTGTGTGTGTATACACATTTCAAATTGCAAATGGTTTTATAAATTCTAAAGAAGCACTGTGCTCTCCATGCCCAAAAGATAAAATATTCTAGAACTAGGCCATTTATATCCCATAGAACACATTTTCTCAACATGGTATGATTGACATTTGGAGCCAGATCATTCTCTGCTGTGGGAGATGACCTACACACTAAAGAGTGTTTAGCAGCATCCTATACCCACTAGATGCCAGTACAATCCCCCAACCCCCCTCCATGGTTATAATAAGCAAAAATGTCTCCAGACACTGCCAAATATTCCCTGGACATAGTGTTTCCAGATAAAAATATAGAACTTCCAGTTAAAATTGAATTTCAGATAAATAACAAATAACTTTTATTCATATGTCCAAAATGCAATACTTGGAACATACTTATACTAAGAAATTACTTATTGTTTATCTATAATTAAATTTTAGCTACATGTCCTGTATTTTTTTTTCTTTATTGATTTTAAAGAGAGAGAGAGACAGAAACACTGATGAGAGAGAACACCAATTGGCTACCTCCTGCATGCCCCTGACTGGGGTCCTGGACCACAACCTGGGCATGTGCCCTGACCGGGAATCGAATCAGCGACTTTTTGGTGCATGGGTCAACACTCAACCACTGAGCCACACTGGCCAGACTGTGTCCTGTATTTTTATTTGCTAAATCTGACAACCCTACCTGGAGGGCAAAATCATCTCCAGCTGAGAACCACTGCCCTCCAACTTAATTCCCACCTCTACCTTTCCTCTCCTTCCTTTTCCACACACTTGAAGTTTAATGGCATATTACTTATTTCACTAGCTAGCAAAGTCAAAGAAATCCACACTCTTCAGTCTCAGGAAGTTTCTATGCATGAATGTAATTCCTGCCAATGTCAGTACTGATTTACAGAAAAATCAACTAACAAGTATTTCTTGAACTCCTCTGAGCAAGGCATTGGACATGAGGGATACATAAGAAATATAAAATGTAGTTCTTAACTTCAACCAGCATCAATTTAGTCAGGAGAAAAGATAGTATACGTGAGATGACTTACAATACAAAATAATACAAAACTGCCCGGCCAGTGTGGCTCAGTGGTTGAGTGTCAACCCATGCACTAAAAGGCCAATTTAAAAATGGCAGAGGAACTAAATAGACACCTCTCCAAACAGGACATGCAAATGTCCAAGAGACATATAAAGAAATGCTCAACATCACTAATCATCAGAGAGATGCAAATTAAAACAACAATGAGGTATCATCTCACACCTGTCAGAATGGCCACCATCAACAAATCATCAAACAAGTGTTGGCAAGGGTGTGGAGAAAAGGGGACTCTAGTACACTGCTGGTGGGAAGGCAGACTGGTGTAGCCACTATGGAAAACACTATGGTGTTACCTCAAAAAATTAAGAATTGAATTGCCATTTGACCCAGTGATTCCACTTCTAGGAATATACCCTAAGAAGCCTGAAACACCACTCAGAAAGAATATATGTACCCCCATGTTTGTAGCAGCACTATTTACAATAGCTAAAGTCTGGAAACAGCCCAAGTGTCCATCAGTAGAGAATGGATAAAAAAGCAGTGGTACATATACACAATGGAGTATTATGCAGCTGTAAGAAAGATCTCTTATTTTTTGAGACTACATGGAGAGACCTGGAAATTATCCTAAGCGAAACAAGCCAAGCAGAGAAAGACAAATATCACATGATCTCACATATTAGTGAAATATAATGAACATAACAGTCTGAGGAATAGGGTAGACCCAGAGACGTGGAAGTAGGGTACAGACTGACAATCCTCAGAAGAGGGGGTGGGGGACAGAGGGACGAGATAAACCACAGAACTTATATGCATGTACACATAACCAATGCACATGGACAATAAAGCTGGGAACGGGGTGCGGGGGATGGGGAGGAGGGTGTCAATGGGGAAAAAAAAGGGGGAAACATCTGTAACAAAAATAAATTAATAAAATAAATAAATAAAAATAAAGTAGCCCTGGTCAGTTTGGCTCAGCGGTTAGAGCATCGGCCCGCGGACCTGAGGCTCCCAGGTTCGGTTCCCGCTAAGGGCACGTACCTCGGTTCCAGTTTGTCCTCAGCCCCGGCTGGGGCATGTGGGTGACAGCCACTCGATGTGTCTCTCTCACATCAATGATTCTCTCTCTCTCCTCCTCCCTCTCTCCCTCCCTCTCTATCTGAAGATAAATGCAATAATAATAATCATAATAATAAAAAAATAAATAAAAATAAAATAAAATAAAAATAGCCTCCTCTAGCCTTCACCACACAATTGACTATTTTTTTAACATAGTAAAAAGTTTTTCATTTCTTCAGGTAAAAGCATCATTGCTTCAAACTGTTGAGAAATGACTCCAGATGTATATCTTGCTCTTTATAATTTCTCCCAGATAAACAGCTTTGCAATCATTAGCTCTATTCAAAAATTGTACACATCACCTGCAGGAAATTCTCTAATACTATTCATTATTGGCCCAAAGCCTGGAAAGTGTAGTTCACTTTAGTGTTATCACTAAGGAACAAAAACAGTCTGCAAAAATTTGGCAGTTTATAATTTCTGCCTGGTAGATTTATATTTTGCAGTTCAGTATACTAATTTAATACTCCGTGTCCCTTTATTAAGTCCACTAAATATTATTAAGCATTTTCACTGGCATTCAACCCAAGTATAAAGTAATTAGTAGCAGTAAAATAAAATAACCAAAATGTACAAGAATCTTTACTAACACCCATTCCCCCCCACACACACACACACACACACACCAAGAGGAGTCTCCTAATCTTCATTTTAGAGGCCTGCTATTAAATCAAGTGGAGGTACTTCCGGTCAACATGGCAGAGGGTAAACGCCCCTCGCCCCTTCCGACAACTACATCAAAATTACAACTAAACTACAGAACCACCACCATTCAAAACCACCTGAAATCGAGCTGAACAAAAGTCCTACAACTACAAAATTTAAAAAGAAACCACTTCAAGACTCATAGGAGGGGCGGAGGCGGCGGGCTGGTGCCACACCCACGTGTGGCGGATAAAAATCAGGGGGACACCTCGGCTGGGAAGGTCCTTCCTGAGGAGAGAGGGGTCCCTGTCCCACACCAGGACCCCAGCTTGGGGTTCCAGTGCCAGGAAGAGAAGTCCCCATAATTTCTGGCTGTAAAAACCAGTGGGAACTGAGGCTGAGAGAGGCTGAGGCTGCAGGAGCCCCAGGCAGTTCCTCTTCAAGGGCCCGTGCATGG